GGAAGAAGATGAGGAAGAAGAGGAGGAGGAGGGAGAAGGAAGAGGAGGAAGAGGAGGAAAAAAATAAAAATAAAAATAAAATATATTAAGAAATACAAGTATGCAACAAAAATAAAAAAGTGTAAAAATAAGGAATAGGAGGAGGAGGAAGAACAGGAGGAAGAGGAAAAGAGGAAGAGAAGGAGAAGAAGAAAAACAAAAATAAAGAAAAAATAAAAATAAAAAGCGGTCCATTCAGCTCCGTCAATTTGTCGATTCGCGCCGACCGCGTTCGAATCCCCGGCCAGACGGCTTCGTCTCATGAATCTAGATAACTGGCAAGTGTGATTCCTATCTCTTGCCTGTCACTCAATCACTCCTTCTCCCCCCCCCTCCCCCCCACTCCCTGTTCTTCCCTCTCTCCTCCCTCTCCTCCCCCCCCCTTTTCCTTATCTTTACCCATCTTCCTCCCGTGACGAATGATGGGTAAATAAATATGTATCTATTGATTTCCTAGCCACTGGCGTATGTCTGAACACCTTCACGTGCTTCAAAGGGACGGACACGGACACGGATACAGATACGGACGGACGGACACACACACACATACACACACACGCACATACATACATACATACACACGCACACGCACACATACACATACACATACATATACACATACACATACACATACACATACACACACACACACACACACACACACACACACACACACACACACACACACACACACACACACACACACACACACACACACACACACACACCATCGTTATCATCACTCACGCCGAATAATGTTCACTATCATTACGGGCTATGTTATCACCAACCTCTTATCGTGTTCCATCATCTAACGAGTAATATCATTTACCCATTTACCTATCCAGTTTTAAGTGCCGGACTAAGGCAAGTCACCTGTTGCAAAAAAAAAAAAAAAAAAAAAAAAAAAATGTTAATTGCAGGTGTGCATTCTGTGTCGCCCGAAACCGAGCTGGAACCTGGTTCTATCTCCTTGCGTATCTTGTCTCATTGTCTGTCTGTTTATCGGGATTTTTTTTATTCTCCCTCTCTCTCTCTCTCTCTCTCTCTCTCTCTCTCTCTCTCTCTCTCTCTCTCTCTCTCTCTCTCTCTCTCTCTCTCTCTCTCTCTCATTCTTTGTAAAAGTGTTTTGTTCTTTCTTTTTATTCCGTTTGATTTCTTTCTTTCTTGTCCTCTTTCTTCTCTCTCTCTCTCTCTCTCTCTCTCTCTCTCTCTCTCTCTCTCTCTCTCTCTCTCTCTCTCTCTCTCTCTCTCTCTCTCTCTCCATTCCCTACCTCTTCCTCCCTTCACGTCCTTCACATCCGCATGGTTGTGCCTATGCTAATGAGCTCAATAAATCCAAAAAATTGACGTTTTTATCGCCAAAAAATTCCGACGGACGAGGAAAAAAAAGAATGAGGTAAAAAGAGGGAGGAAGGGAGGGAGGGAGAGAGGGAGAGAAAGACAGAGAATCAAATGTCACCCTTATGTCCTCTGTCTCTCTCTCTGTCTCTCTCTCTCTCTCTCTCTCTCTCTCTCTCTCTCTCTCTCTCTCTCTCTCTCTCTCTCTCTCTCCCTCTCTCTCTCTCTCTCTATCTATCTATTTATCAATCTCTCTATCTCTCATTCTCTCTATCTGTCTCTTTCTCATTCTCATTCTCTCTATCTATCTCTTTCTCATTCTCATTCTCTCTCTCTCTCTCATTGAACAGGATAACGCCTCTTTGTTTGTTGTCAACCAGGTGTGGTACTCTGGGGGGAGAGGGAAAGGGGGGAGGGAGGGAAGGGGAAAGGGGGAGGGAGGGAAGGGGGGGGGAGGTGTAGTCATTTCACACAGAAGGGAGGAAATGCCGGGCTCATTTCCACTCTCCCCCCAAACCATTTTTGTTTCCTTTAATTTCCTCTCTCCTTCCCATCACTCTTTCTTCCCTCCCTCCCCCCCCTTCTTCCCCTCTTCCCCCACCTTTCTATCTCTCCCCTCCATCTTCCTATCCTTGCCTTCCCTCCCTTTCTACACTATTCCCTCCTCCTTCCCCCTCCCTCCCCTCCCTTCCTTCCTCATCTCCCTTCCTTCTCCCCTCCTTCCCTCCTCCTCCTCCTCCCTCCCTTCCTTCCTTCCCCCTCCCCTACCCCTTCATCCCCTCCTCCCCTCCCCTCCTCCCCCTTCCCCTTCCCCCCTTTTCAACGACGAAGCAAATAACCCCACAGTTCCCATCATTGTCATCACAACCTCATCACTTTCCTCGAGTCAGCAACGACCAGGGCACTGAGTCGTCATCAGCGGGGGTGGGGTGGGGTGGGGGGTCGTCGTCGTCGCCTCATCAGTGGTGAATCTGGGAGTCGCTATTTTTATTTATTTTCATCCGGTTCTTTCGTTCGACATTTTCCCTTCGCTTCCCCCCCTCCCTCCGTCTCTCTCGTGTTCCTTCGTATTCGTTAATGTTCGAGACTTGATTCTTATTATTTTGTTGTTGTTTGTTTTGTTTTGTTTTTTACTTCATACGCCACTTCACTTCTCCATTCTCTCTTTCTCTCTCTTACTTCTTTTTATCCCTTATTCTCCTCACTTCTCATCGTCCCTCGTTCTTCCTCTCCCTCCTCCTCCTTCCCTATCTTCCTTACCACTCATCCTCTCTCATTCTCCCTTTCTCTTCTTATTCTCGCTCCTTATTCTCCTCTTTACCCACTCCTCCCTGGCGACCCAACCTTTCTCCCTCTCCCCTCTCTTCTTTCCCCTTTCTCCTCATCCTCTCCTATTCTCCCTCTCCATTCCCCTTTCTTCCCTCTTCTCCCATCTCTTCTTTCCCCTTTCTCCTCATCCTCTCCTATTCTCCCTCTCCATTCCCCTTTCTCCCTCTCCCCTCTCTCCTTTCCCCTTTCTCCTCATCCTCTCCTATTCTCCCTCTCCGACCCAACCTTTCTCCCTCTCCCCTCTCTTCTTTCCCCTTTCTCCTCATCCTCTCCTATTCTCCCTCTCCATTCCCCTTTCTTCCCTCTTCTCCCATCTCTCTAGCGACCACGACCGCCCTTTCCCCTTCCTTCCCCTCTACTTCGGTTCTCAACCCTGACCTTCTAATTGCCTCCATCTCTGTCCCACCATCATCAAATAGTTCCTCTCTCTCTCTCCCTGTTTCTTGTCATTATCCCCTTCCCTTCTTCCTTTCTTTCTCCTCTCGCCGACCCTAATGCCTCTGCCACTTACCAAGATGTTCCCTCTTCTGTCTTTTCTCTTTTGCTGTCTTGTCTTTTCTCTTGTTATCTTATACGTTGCTCGTTCTCCTTGTTATTATCCTCTTTGCTTCCCCTTCTTCGCTGCACCTTTCCCCCTTTCGTGGCGTTTTCTTTCTTTCTCTTCTTTCACCTCCGTCCATTTATCTTGGTCTGTGTTTATCCCTCTCTCTCTGTTTGGGATTCTATGATTTTCTATGATTCCGCTATATTGTCTCTGTGCCTTGCCTATGTCCACTATATCTCCCCTTCTCTCTCTTTCTCCGCGTAACGTAATCTATTTCTAATCCTCCCTTCTTCCCTTTCTCATCTCTTCATTCCTTCCTTGTTCTCCTCTCTCTTCCTCTGCTCTCCCTCCCTTTTCCTACCGTTCTTCCTTCCCCTTCTGTCTTTCTCTCCCCATCTCCTCTCGTCTCCCCTTCCTTCCTCTTCTGCCTCTCTCTCCCCACTTCCTCTCGCCTCCCTTCCTTTCCCCCTCTGTGCCTCCTCCCCCCTCCGTCTTTCTCTCCCCATCTCCTCCTCTTTTCTCACTGCCTCCCGCGCTCCTCGTCCTCTGCCCTTCCTGCCTCATAAGCGGGAGTGGCGGCCATATTTTACTTGCTGTCAATTACCGAGATTGCTCGCTGGCGCACCTACAACCGCTTTATTGCATCTTCGCCCGCTCGCCGAGGTCGTCGCTGCGCCCTCGGCATTCGGGGCGTCGGTCACTCGGCGGAGGGCAAGGGCACGGCGCTCCTCCTCGTCCTCCTCGTCCTGATAAGTCCTCGGAGGTCTTCAAAAAAATGCGTGAATTAACGGGGATCGCGGAGGAAAGACCGGAGGAAAATAAATAATGCGTGGGAGAGCCTCTCGTCGACGCTCGTGCCTGGCTTGGGCTTCGGCGGCGGCGGCGGCGGCGGAGGAGGAGGAGGAGGAGGAGGAAGAGGACGAGGAAGAGGAGGAAGACGAGGAGGAGGAGGATGCTCGCAGGCGGCGGCGGAGTCGAAGAGGGAGTTCTTGCGGTCCCTCTTCTCCCTCGCTCCCTCGCTCCCCCTCCTGCCGCTGCCCGCCACGACGCCAGATTTCATTTTCCGGGATCTGTGATGATCCCAAAGCGACTCTTGTGGGACTAATTTTACGGCCGGCCATTGATTGTGATGGCCGGGCCGTTATGGCTGCCGCTGCTCGTGTGGCGCTGACCCGCCCTCGACCCTCTCTCCTCTCCTCTCCCCCCCCCTCCTGGGCCGCCCCTCGGGTCCTCCCTCTCCAGGTACCTCCTGGATTCCTCTTCCTTCGGCGTCGGGGGGGGGGGGGGGGGGGGGGATCGTGCTCCCTGCTCGGCAAGACCCCTCGGATCGCGCGCATCGTCTCGGCTGCTGCGCCTACGCCGTGCGGTTCACTTCGGGGTAAGCATCACCTTCGTTTCCATGCCGTTTGTTTATATGGTCTTGGCGATTCACAAGTTCATTATCTTTCTTCACTTTTCTTTTGCTCGGAGGATATTTTCACTTATTTCCATCCCCACCGTTGATCTATAATCACTCGATAAACTTTAATTTTCCTGACGATCACTACACAACACAGATCACTTGCTCGTCGAAAACCCACGTTATATTTCCATATCACTGTAACACAACCACGAGAACATCGCCTTCCAAGAGAGCTTCCTTCTGCCGGAGCCTCGTCAGCATCCTCCCCTTTCCTTTCGCTAAAATAAACAAAGCAAAACAAAGCAAAACAGCCCCTGCAGCGGGAAAAGAAGAGCGGGTACTTAC